ATCTTTTACATCTAGAACTGTCACAACCGTCTTTAAGGGAGCAGAGGAAATTCAAATTTACCAATGTTATTTGAACTTTTAATAAGATAAATATCGAAATTAGTACACCTACATCTATATCTGTCGGATTTTAAATCAATGTTTTTGAATGTTTCTATTTTGTATTGATTTACCTCTTCATCACTATTTCTACCACTTCAACTCGTTTCAACTTCTTCTGGAAGCTTACATGTTCTATTTAAGACATTCAAAGATCGTCCTTCCTGAGGGTCTAATAACTGAAAATAAAAACATTTTTGTATTAAATACAAATACAAAATTATCACGTGGTAATATAAATAATTTATAAAAAAACAATACTTTTAACAAATAAATAACTTAATACTATCGACATTTTAACAAATGAATTAGGTTCTACGAATATGACATCATTCCCTTTCAGATAACTCTTATAAGTTAATTGTTTTATTATTCAAAAATCGATGTCAAACATATCGTGACGGATTTAAACCTAGAATTATCTAGTATAATCTTATTCTATTCTTTCTCTGACAACATGGTTTAAACATTGTTTACTACGACACATCATCGGATGGTCATTATATAATTTTATTTTATTAACCATTGTTTTTTATTGTTATTATTATTTTTTTCTTGTTATGGTTCGGACCCGCACGCCAAATGCGTCATTTATAGTAATACTTATCAAAAAAAGTGTTTGAATATCTCACTTCTAGCTACGAAATACGTAATGCGTTTGAAATGAAGCAAATTGAACAAAATGAAATACGCTCACCGGATAACTATTATTATCAGCTATTATTATATTTTCCTCAGCTGGATCAGGATTTATAAATACATTAGGCCTGGCGGTAACTGATCACGAGAGCGATCCCACTTCTGATATCGGATTTATTACAAATTCGTTGTTTTAAAACAGAGAGACGCCAGCCTCGCTGACGTTACAAATGTCACTTCTTCTAGAGCGTTTCATGATATTTTAAAATGAAACTTCAATTGTTCTTAATGCTTCGGCATTTCTCTAAGGTTCTTCATAATTACATACTTCAATGATACGAACTCACTGAACTCTGAATTCTCAATTCTGCCGTCGTGCGTCCAGACGTCATAATTATACCAAGATTTAAACATAGTTCTATTCTCCTTTTAAACAACCTTTGATTTCGTTTTACTTTTAACAATAATCATAAATACTAATGAGCTCTAATAAAAATTGATGACAGCCTCAAATTATTTTCATGTCGCATCCGTTATTAAAGTTGGTAGCGCCGATATATACATACCTACATATGTGAAATGAAATTTCAAACTCTAATTTTTGTTTTACAAAATAATGAAATATAGTATATTTTCCCGATATAGTATATGTAATACATTATATACCAAAAAAATTTAATAATCCTGACGCTTCGGCTACTTTTACGCTACTGGGATCACGGGCAGACGAGATGTGAGTGTCTGTATGTTGGTCTTGTTATTTATCACCTACCACCATCGATTTCTTAATTTTTGTGGCATACGATTCGCCAACGGTAGCTAACTGTATAGGGTGGTGGTGTGAATAACCATTGATATACCTGTCCGTATGTGTGGGTTTCCTATAAACAGTATGTCCCAAAGTATTATCAGGATTCCTGATGACAATATTCAAGAAAAGCTAATGAACTATTTGCCTCTAATTCTTAGTAAAATGAATCTTGCTATAGATAGAATTAAAATGGTTCAGAAAAGCAGATGTTTTTTTTATTTAATATTTTGACGGTGTCATCTACATACCGTTTATATATTAAAGGTCTTACTCGAGGAGAGCAAAGGGCTCGCACCTCGAAGTCTTCCATGTATATATTAGCGACAAAGGGGGGAAACCGGTGAATCCATTGCAACTCCATCTACAGTAGGACCTCGATTATCCGGACTAATTGTTGTCGGTAGGCATCCGGATAATTGAAAGTCCGGATAATCCAATATATGAAGAAAAACGGGCTTTTTGCATATGTACATATGTAGTCTGTACCATACATATGTAATGTTAGGTGTTTATTTAAAACAATAAATACATATGAACGAAAATCAACGTTTATTAAGAAATTGTACATAATCTATACTAATATTATAAAGCTGAAGTGTTTGTTTGAAAGCGCTAATCTCCGAAACTACTGGTTCGAATTGAATAATTATTTTTGTGTTGGATAGTCCAGTTATCGAGGAAGGCTGTGGGCTATATAACATCACGCTATGACCAATAGAAGCAAAGATATACTTAGTGGTAAATGTGTAAAAAACGGGAGAAATTATTTCATCTTTGAAGCCTTCCGTTGCGTGCGCCGTGAAAACAGTTCAAGATACACAAAAAATATGTATTAAAGAATAATAGCTCTATTCTATAAAATAATCTAAAAAACAGTCCGCGACAGTATATGTCTATCTTTTAAGATTAACTCACAAAAACCGTTTTTATGGTACCTAATTTGTTCGAAATAATTTGTTTAAGTTGTATCAACATAATAATATTAATCTTTATTCAAATAAACAAATAAATATGTTGTTGGTTAAGAGTACTTCATTGTGAATTAAAAAAAAACATAGGTTTTATCCTGAAAATTCTACGGGAACTCAACCATTCCGAAAACCCCGCAAGAACGGGAACTATGTGGGAAGAACCAAAAATCTGCCGGAAGTCACTATTCCACGCGGACGAAGTCGCAGCAAAAGCTAGTGTACGTATAAGTGTTATAAGTGGCGTGACGTTATGCAAGTTCTGACATGTTAATGTTAGAATAAACTCGTCGCAATTGGCAGTCCGGATAATCGCGAATTCGGATAACCGAGGTCCGGATAATCGGGGTCCTACTGTACTTGTATGTAGAATTCATTCTTCCACATGAGATATTCAGATGATAGGAAATACTTTAACAGCTCTGCATATTAGTTTCATTTAAATCAAAACTCTCATCGCTTGTAGGAGCACTCCTAAGATCTAATAATTGTATACCAAAAAAAGTGCGAAGTATTATCTACAATTCCCTGATAAAGCCACACATGGATTACTTAATTGAAAAATGGGGGTCAGCTTCAAAGTCTAACCTTAAAATCTTACAAATTACGCAGAACAAAATTATAAAAGTACTTTTTTACTATGACTTTTTCACACCGTGGATAGAACTGTACAAAAATCAAAATTATTCAACCTTAATCAAACATATATTTATAAAACATGTATTTTAATTAAAAAGATACTATCTAAAAGTATTCATTCAAACATAACATTTACACAAAAATCAAACAAGCATAACTTAAGAAACAGACATAAACTTGAATTACCTAATGTCAAAACCTTAAATTATGGACACAAAAATACACGTTTTGATGGAGTAAAACTATGTAATGATTTGCCAAACTACAAAGAGGAATGTAAATTTCTAAGGGCTTTTAAAAATTTAAGTTTATTTTATATATTATGTATATTAGACAATATTAAGTAGTAGGTACTAGCCATTGATACATGGATCAAATATTAATGTATGTGTGTAACATTGTTCAATCTCATGTAAGTGAACCTATGTATGTTCTTATGAGAATAATGATCTTTTACCATAAATGAATAAGACTCGCGAAAATCTTAGATCTCATTATTTAAACCTAACGACTGTAAAACGAACAAAATTGTTAAAAATACACCGAAATAATAAAGACAGACTCACCTAATTGTTTCAAAATATAAACAAAATAATTTCTGGTATTTTAAAAATAAAAATATTTTTAAGAATTAAGAAAGAACAATAAGAATAACGCATGAACGCTGATTAGTCCAATAAACGGATTAACTAGTTACTAGTGAATGGAATTTTCTTCGTAGTCTTATCTATATTTGGAAGAATTAACAACAATAGAGGGCAATAAGAATTAAGGATGTACCTGGTAATGAAACAAAAGAGAAATGTAATGAAACCCCCAAAGCTACCCGATGGCGAGCTGATTTCATCAACCCTGTTACAAATATTGGTCAGTGTACACTCAGTAATTGAGGAAGTAACCACACTTGTTGTTATTGTGATCTTTTAACTGTGATAGTAATTTTAAATATCGGTAAGTATACATTTTTAATAATTATCAATATTTAAATTTTAAGGGAATATGTTATCCAAGTAAACACATCTAAGTTTGAATTCTAACTTGTTTGTTATTGTTTTATCAGGTTGAAGATAAAAGTGATTCTAAATAAGAGAAATACCTATAATTTTTTGTAATTTTTTTATGTTCGATGCTTGTAGAAAAATGATTTAACTAGGTTAAAGGAACTTACTTGTATTTTCTAATGAAATGTCATTTATTTTCATACAAATCAGACCTCGCGCTGATTTAATAGTATTAAAAACAAACATTCTATTAGTTTTTATAACCATTTCCACGTGTGCTCATTTGAATGAAAACGAATTTTATTACTACTTTTTATTTATTATCCTATACAACATACCTACCAGATACCAAAACGTCAACTGTAGTCTTGAATTGAAGTAGTGTGAATTTTAATGCAAAGTTCATATTCAGGAAAACAGAAAGTTTTAAATAACAAGTGTATTAAATAATTGCTATAACTAACGTATTAAATATAAAATATTCAAGCATTCCTCAATATCGATTAAAAGTATGTCGTCTAAGTACTAGGCTTACACTTGCAACCTCCAGTAAGTAGGTAGCAGTGTTTTAAATAAAAGATGCTATTTAGACATAATCTGATCCATTAGGATATAATAAGTAAACCATAGTAATGGATGGTAGACTCGAGTCAGCAACAATAAAACTTAAAGAATATTACCGTTAACGTTGTGTACGTCGAGACAAACGAACTATTTACTTTGTACCTGCGACATGCAATGGAACCGTCATATTTTTTTTATATGTACTAGTTTTGTCGAACTCAGAGTCTATTAAAAGCAAAAGTTATATATAAATTTGATAAGCAATGGTTTATTTTTCAGTTGACAATGACTACTGTGATGATAACATCCGAAATGGATGCGGCTCTGGCCTTGTTGGACTTACACAGAAATAATAATGGTAAATTTCTTTTCCCAATAATAGATAAACAGAAATCTAGTTTGTTCATTCATTATTACACATCTACTCTAATAAATTTGTACGTGTTATTGAAATATGTGTTTTCATTATGGATTTTATAAATTTCAGAGAGAGTCAATTCCCACCCTATGGCCAATATGGATGGGCAAGTTCATATTGCAACAATTTTCAATAGTTTCGTAAATTCCAAGGTATTAAAAATATCAGTAGTTCCTGTTTTTATTTTTTTTAAACTAATAAAGATTTTTTTTATAGTAATAAATATCTCATGAATTTCAGACTTCGCATTCACCTAGTACTAGTCCTAACCCTAGAACAACCGCTGAGCGAAAATCGTGGAAGATGTCGCCAGGAAGGAAAAGTCGAAAAACCAGTCCAGTACCAAAGAAGATAACAACATACGATATAGCAACCCAAACGGATATCGACGTAGATAACGAATCTGAAATAGAAAAAATGAGAAATGTTATTAAAGGTTTATGTGCCAGAATAGAAGAACTAGAAGCGAAACTCAAAACCAAAGAGCAAGAGACTTCTTCAGTTACGGACTCATTAGAACGAATTACTGATTATTCGAGTGATGACTTCAGACCACAGCAGAGGAGGCGATCGCATAAGCGAAAAAGAAATTTGACATTCACCACAGACTTCGTAAGTTAAATTATTATTAAAGATATAAGTGGTCTTTTGTTAACATTAAAACTTTCAACTTAACATATCTTTTCAGAGTTCAATTGGAGATTACGATTCTACATTTAATAAAGATGAAGATACTATAGAGAACGATGTAAAGCGAATAAAAGCTTCGACGCAGAAAAATACTGTTAAAAATAATGAACACAAGGTAAAATAAGTTCTTTTGTATTATCTATATTATCGGTGTTATTGTTATATATGCTGTAATGTTCCTTAATGTCTAGGTGCCTATTGGAGACGGAAACGCTGTGGTCCCAGCCAGGCTTCTTAGGCATATGGATTGGACTTCATACACAAATGCAACAAGGAAACTACTAACTGCAGTATTTTCGAGAAAGTCAGTAGAAAACTTTAATTTCATAGTGGAAAAATTTCTTTCCAGTATAATAAGTAAATAATCGTTATATTTTCAGAGTACTGGCGACCCACTCATTAACTGGAAAACCTTCACCAGCATTTCCAGACAAACCTGCTAAGAAGAAGCTAGATCCAATGCTAGTAAATGACATTGTGCAGACGGTCGTAGAAAAATGTTGCGTCGCCCAAAATGTTGTCAGGTATGAAAATAATATATTTTCCTGCATCAAAAAAGTATTTAAGAATTTCATAAAGGAATATCGTAATAAAGATTTCAACTAATAATCTCTTTTAAAATTTCAGGACCAGTATCACAACAAAGTGTGCGGACGAAAGTAAAATGTTCCGCACACGAGAACAAAATAAAACGAAGAAGAAGACCTTAACAAAAGAAAACATCACCCCTGATGATGAATCAGGAGAATCTTTTTAATATAATTAGAAAAAAATTACAAATATATAATTTTTGATGAAAATGTTATTTGTTTAATGTAATTTAAGTTTGTTTTTGGCTCATAATAAACACCTTATATTTATCAAAATGTAAATTATGGTGTCTTATTGTTGAAATGAACTTGGTCAAAACCAATTAATTAGATTTTTGATCTAGTTGGTCACTTTCGCTTCAATAAAACTTATGACGTATCGAATACATTTAATAAAAGACAATACAAAAACATCCATAATATTTTATTTCTTGAAATACATGATGTGTACCTAAGACTATAAGACTATATATATATACATATATGTAAATGTAAATTCATTTGGTAGAATAACAATTTAGCAGTAAACGTAAAATCGCATTCTCTCATGGAACTCTGAAAGGATACGTTGTTTAGAATGTTTCATTCATAAAAACGGCTACTAATTTCTTGTATAGTTTCCCTTACGAAGTCCGTGGTGACTGTCAAAATCCCTTTTTCGCTTACTGGTTCGCCTTCTCTGCTGTGGTCTGAAGTAGTCATCACTCGCACAGTCAGTCATTTGTTCCAGTGGGTCTGGAACTGAGAGGGTCTCTGGCTCTCTGGTTTGAAATTCCGCTTCCAGTACTTCGACTTTGGAATGTAATTCTTTAATTACTTTCCCCATTTTTTCCTTATTAGGTATATCTACTACGATATTCGTTTGGCTTGCTACATTGTATGTTATTTTCGCCTTGGGGACTGGACTGGTTTTTCGGTTTTTACTTCCTGGCGACAACTTCCACGATTTTCGCTCAGCGATTGTTTTAGCTTTAGGGCTAGTACTCGGTGAATGGGAATTCTGAAATTCATGAGATGTTTATTATTACAATCAAAAATATTTAGTCTTTTTCTGTAAGTATAATAACTACTAATAATCTTTATCCCTTGGAAGTTACGAAACTGTTAAAAATTGTTTTAATATAAACAGTCCCATCTATATTAAAATCGGTCGGGAATTAACTCTCTCCGAAATTAATAAAATCCTATGTTTTTGTTTGTTTCTTTTTTCTAATTAAAATAAAAGATCCCTCCGATTCATCACCTGGGTCAACATATTTTCTTTTTTTGTGGACTTTCGCTTCTTTCCAATCCATATTAGCCCATGACCTTGCTGGCACAGTAACATTTCCGCTTGTGGATACCTGATATAATCAATATTATATATCTTTATATATATAATTCTGTTGTGAGTGTGTATGTCACTGAACTTCTCTCAAACGACTGGACCGATTTTGATGAAATTTTTTGTGTGTGTTCAAGGGGATCTGGGAATGGTTTAGATTCACAATTTTGTCCGCTGGACAATGTTTTTTTTAGTTAATTTTTAATTTATTAGTAGTTGTTGATACAAAGGTTTTTTTTACATCAGATTTGACAACTAACTTATATGTCAATCATTCTGACGCACTTCAAAACTCGGAGATTTATGGCTTTAATAGGTAAACTCCAAATATATTAATAAAAAAAAACGTAACAGATATTTCTTGATTATAGGACGAAACGAAGTTCGCCGGGTCTTCTAGTATTCTATATATGTATTATGTACCTTTCATAATGAAAATAGTCTTGTCATTTAAAAGTCTACTTATTTGTTCGTTGGGCATCGAATCTCGTCTTTAAGATTGATAGTGGGTTTTTATCATGGATTTAGTAAGATTAAGATTGTGATGGATCTGAAAACAAAATAAAACAAATGGTTAAACCGAAACTTTTACATCTAGAACTGTCACACCCGTCTTTAAGGGAGCAAAGGAAATTCAAATATACCAATGTTATTCGAACTTTTAATAAGATATAAATATCGAAATTTTTACACCTACATCTGTATATGTAGGATTTTAAATCATTGTTTTTGAATATTTGTATTTTGTGTTGATTTACCTCCTCATCACTATGGCTATCACTCGAACTCGTTTCAACTTGTTCTGAAGCTTGCATGTTCTATTTAAGGCATTCAAAGATCGTCCATCCTGATGGTCTAATAACTGAAAATAAAAACATTTTTGTATTAAATACAAATCAAAAATAACCACGTGGTAATATAAATAATTTATAAAAAACAATACTTTTAACAAATAAATAAGGTTTTACGAATATGACATCATTCCCTTTCAGATAACTCTTAATGTTTAAATGTGATTGTAATTAGTAGATAAGTTAATTGATTTATTGTACATACATCGATGTCAAACATATCGTGAGGGATTTAAACCTAGAATTATCTAGTATAATCTTATTCTATTCTTCCTCCGACAACACGGTTTAAACATGCGCTTAAGTATTATTATGATATTGCCGAGTTCTCGTTTAGAAATTAAACCAAAAATGCGAATGAAATGTACAAGTTTCACCTTACCAGTTGGCCAGTCTTCATTTCTTTGATGGTATTCATGCACAAAGTAACGACATTCTTCACTTGATTGTCTTGTCTCTCCAACATTATTTTGAAGTCCTTTACGTATCGTTTGCTTTCTATGAGATAGGAAACAAAGAGAATCATTATTATCAATCAATTAATTTATATGAGTATCACTATAATTGGAAAATGCACTAATTCTCTTCAAATCATAAGGTGTCACGTTATTGTTACTATCGAATATCTTATAAAGTAAGAAATTGCATGCTCACATTTTAAACGGACAGTAACTGTAGTAAAATTATTGGAGTCATTATAAGAGTGAGAATAATGTATGTACGAATTATTATAATAATTATGGATGAGAAAACACAAATTATTAAAATAAATGAATAGAAAATCCACCATACCAGATATCCTAAGTACTTGGTCCTTGAGTGCACCATTGTTTTTATCTCTGACGAAAATAGCATTCCCATTGTTAAGATCGGCCTCGTGTTGGATAATATTTTAATATTTATAACGCCGTAATTAGAAAACGCACTTTTATCTTCGACATATTCTACAAGCAACCAAAGTTTAGTATCCATTGCTATTCGGAGGTAGAAATATTAGCAAAGAATATGATACACTGATCTTATAATAATCTTTTAGTGGCTCTAAGCCGTTGGAAGTCGTTTGAATTTTAAGAAACAGTACTAATTTTACAAATCATTTTCCATTAATCATTTTCTAGAATTCTAACCATTGAAAAAATTTCTCTTCATTCAAATATAACAATAAACATATGTTTATAATCAGCTGTATTTTCAAGCATTGTGAAAATAAGTAAGATTTTTAAATACTTACTAGAAGACCCGGCGAACTTCGTATCGCTCTATAATCAAGAAATATCTGTTTCGTTTTTTTAATTATATTTTTGAAGTTTACCTTTAAGCCATAAGTCTCCGTGTTTTGAAGTGCGACAGAATGATTGACATACCTATAAGTTAGTTGTCATATCTAATGTCAAAAAAAAACATTTGTATGGGAAATAGAAAAGGGCTGTTTTTAGGGTTTTCCCGAAAATGAATCAATTTTTTTTCAGTTTTTAAACCTTCCATGAACCTCCACGAACATTAAAAGACTAAGGTAACATAAATCCGTTCAGCCGTTTTCGAGTTTTAGTGAGACTAAAGAACAGCAATCCATTTTTTATACATATATATATATAAATGTAAGAAGATTTATATTATGGGTACAACGGAAAAGTTCCTAAAACAATTATAGGTAACAAATAGTACTCCGTCCACCAATAAGCTAATTTCCTGAAAAACCCGAATTCAAATTGAATCGACGGATATGAGTTTAGTTTTATTTGTATGAATGTTTAAAAAGTTAAAAACTCATAAATTAGAAATTCTTCTTGAACGAATTATGGTTATAAAATTGTCAGAAGTTTTACCGTTTTTTTATAAAATACAAAGGAATATAAATAAATATCAAAACTTTTATATATTCTCAGCATTTAATTTTTTTTATGATATAATGTAATTTTCAAACTATTTTAAAATAGAGTAATTAATTCAACATACATATAATCAAAAATGGTTTGGATATAGGTGGTCACTTGTGAGCTTTTCCTTTTAGTAAAAGATAAATTCTATTGAATACATTTAAAAATATATATTATTAAGCTTCCATTATATTTTATTACATAAAATACAAGGTGTATAGTGTATACCTAGGACTATAAATGTGTATATAATTTAACGTACATATGTAAATACATTTGGTTAAATAAAAATGAAGCAGTACGAAAATTTTATTTTTCTTACTTTTCCTACATATGTTAGTATGTGAAATGATTCAGTACTGTTCAACCACACTCAGGAGCTTCACGTCACGGAGATGAAGATGCTGAGGTGGATGTGTGGCATTACGCGGGCTGACCGCAATCGTAACATATTTATCCGAGGTAGTCTTGGAGTCCGTAACGTAACGGATAAGCTTGAAGAGAGTCGCTTGAGATGGTATGGCCACGTTACACGCCGGCCTCAGAACTACATCGGAAGAATATGCCTTAATATGTCTGTCCCTGGAGCGAGACCCCAAGGACGCCCAAAGAAGCGATGGCTGGACACCGTGAAGCAGGACATGAGAGCCAACGGGCTAGCCACCGAGGATGCCAAAGACCGTGCAAAGTGGAGGAGCTTAAGTAGGAAAGCAGACCCTGGCTAAAGCTGGGAAATTGACAGAAAGAAGAAGTAGGTATGTGAAATGAAATTCCAAACTCAAACTTTTTTTTTACAAAATAATGGCATAGTATATTTTTCCTATATAATAATTTGTTATAGATTAGATAACATAAAAAAAAAATATTATCCGGTTTTACAAAACTTAAAAAAACGATCATAAAATTTTTAATTTTATACTTTTTGAAACTGAAAAGATTTGCTTGTCTACTAGACATTTTTAATATTCGTCTTTATAAACCTTCATTAACTGAAAATCATTAAGTTAGTAAAGGGCCTCTTATTTCCAATTAAATACGAATTCTAAAATAAAAAAAGGTTTGTAAGTCAATATCAGATTTCAAAAAAGATTTGAACATAGTAACGTATTTGAATTTTGACTTTTAATATAACATTATTCTTTATACCTGTTATATGCTTTAAGTTACTTACCTGATAGAGCTTTAAAATACAAAAAAAAAACGATTCCTGTTGTTTTAAAAATAAAATATATTTTAAATCCCTATAAGAATTACTCTTGAAAGCTAATTAGTTCAATAAATGGATAAACTAGTTTCTAGTGAATGAATTTTCTTCGTTGTCGTATTGTATTTGAAATCGTATTTGAAAGAATTGAAAACAATAGAAAGCAATAAGAATTAAGGATGTACCTGATAATGAAACAAAAGAGTAATATAATGAAACCCCCAAAGCTACCCGATGGCGAGCTGATTTAGTCAACCCTGTTACAAATATTGGTCAGTGTACACTCAGTAATCGAGGAAGTAAAAACACTTGTTGTTATTCTGACATATTAACTGTGAGAGTAATTTTTTATATCGGTAAGTTTAATTTTTAACAATTTAGAATATTTTTAAAGTGTCAAAGTTTTTTCGTTTGAGTTCTAACTGGTTTGTTATTGTAGCGTCAGATTGTATATATTAGTGATTTTAAATAACAAAAATATATTTTGTCAAATTTTATGTTTGATGATTGTAGGAAAATTCTTTCCTAGGTTTAAATATTTAGATTAATATATGAACTTTTATTATATTGGTAGAAATCAGAGAGACGCGATGACTTAATAATATTTAAAAAAAGCATTCTTTTAGTCTAAATATGTACTGATATTCCAGATTTTCGCGTGTGTTTATTTAAATGAAACTGAGATTTATTTCTATATTATAAACATTAATGTACGTATAACTACATAAATAACATCCAAGACATCAAAAATACGCGTAGTATTCGTATAGTAATTTAACTTATATCAGTCAGGAGTAGAGGAAGTATTTAATAACAAGGATAAAAAATTGCTATTACTAATGTATTAAATATAAAATATTCAGCAGGTTAAAGTGTCTAAAATAAAAGATGTCATATAGACGTAATCTGATCTATTAGAATATAGTAAGTAAACAAACAATAGCTTTATAGATAGTAGACTCGAGCCAGCAACAAGAATACATAAAGATATTACTGTTAACGTTGAGTACGTCGAGACTAACGAAACTTTTATGTTGTACATACCTGCAACTTGCAACAAAGTCGTGCTATTTTCATATGTACTGCCTTTGTCTAACTTCGTGTCTATTTTTTTAAATAATTTTTTTCAGTTGACAATGACTACTGTGATGATAACATCTGAAATGGATGCGGCTCTGGCCTTGTTGGAATTACACAGGAATAATTATGGTAAATATACTTTCCCCATACTTAAAATAGAAAAATCTAGTTCATCCATTCATTATAACATGTCTACACCAATTATTTTGTATGTGTTATTCATATATGTGTTTTGATTGTAGTTTAATTAATTTCAGTGAGAGTAAATTCCCGACCAATAGCCGATATGGATGGGCCTGTTCATATTGCAACTATTTGTAACGGTTGCATAACTTCCAAGGTAGTATGATTATTAGTAGTTATTATATTTATAGAAAAAGACTACATATTTTTGATTATAATAATACACATCTCATGAATTTCAGAATTTGCATTCACCGAGTTCTAGCCTTAAAGATAAAACAACCGCTGAACAAAAATCGTGGATGGTGACGTCAGGAAGGAAAATACGAAAAACCAGTCCAGTCCCCAAGGAGAAAATAAAATACGAAGTAGCAACTCAAACGGATATCGAAATAGATATATCTAAAAAAGAAAAATTGGAAAAAGTAATTAAAGAATTACATTCCAAAGTCGAGGTACTCGAAGCGGAACTTAAAGCCAGAGAGCCAGAGACCCTCTCAGTTCCAGACCCATTACAAAAAATGACAGACTATTCCAGTGATGACTTCAGACCACAGCAGAGGAGGCGATCGCATAAGCGAAAAAGAAATTTGACATTCACCACAGACTTTGTAAGTAAAATTATTAAAGATATAAGTGGTATATTTTTAACATAAAAACTTTCAATTTAACCTATCTTTTCAGAGTTCAATTGGAGATTACGATACTACATTTAATAAAGATGAAGATACTATAGACAACGATGTAAAACGAATAAAAGCTTTGACGCCGAAAAATACTGTTAAAAATAATGAAGACAAGGTAAAACAAGTTCTTTTGTATTATTTATATTATCAGTGTTATTGTTATATAAATATGCTGTAATGCTCCTTAATGTCTAGGTGCCTATTGGAGACGGAAACGCTGTGGTCCCAGCCAGGCTTCTTAAGCATATGGATTGGACTTCATACACAAATGCAACAAGGAAACTACTAACTGCAGTATTTTCCAGAAAGTCAGTAGAAAACTTTAATTTCATAGAGGAAAAATTTCGTTCCAGTATCATAAGTAAATAATCATTATATTTTCAGAGTACTGGCGACCCACTCATTAACTGGAAAACCTTCACCAGCATTTCCAGACAAACCTGCTAAAAAGAAGCTAGATCCAATGTTGGTAAATGACATTGTGCAAACGGTCGTAGAAAAATGTTGCGTCCCCAAAAAGGTTGTCAGGTATGAAAATAATATATTTTCCTGTATCAACAAAGTATTCAAGATTTTCATAAAGGAATATCGTAAAAAAGATTTCAACTAATAATCTCTTTTAAAATTTCAGGACCAGCATCACCACAAAGTGTGCGGACGAAAGTAAAATGTTCCGCACACGAGAACAAAATAAAAAGAAAAAAAAAGACCTCAAAAAAAGAAAACATCACCCCTGATGATGAATCCGAAGAATATTTTTAAGCTATTTAGAAAACAAATAACAAACATAATCATAAGATAATTGAAATTATTAGTCAGGTAATTAATTACTGTCATTAGCAAAATATAATTCAAGTTAATATGGTAGTGTAAAACTTTTGTTGATTTTATTATTTTTCAATGACAAAATCATACGCATTTTTAACATATTTTAAATTTATGATACTTTTGTTTTTGTTTGAGAGTCAGTTCAGTGTTGCCGATATAAATAGTAAATGTTCTCGTTTCTTCATCATCAACTTATTTCATCTCAATAAAAGAAGGTCTGGCGAATATTCAAGTCTTTGATAATAATTGATAAGATTTTTTTTTATTTTACAGATATTGTCCAGTATTATGCTGTGGTCCCAGCCAGGCGTCTCAAACATATGGAGTGGGCTTCATACACAAACGCTACAAGAAAACTACTAACTGCTGTATTTTCGAGAAAGTTAGTAGAAAACTTGAATTTCATATTGGCAAAATTCATTCCAGTATCATAAGTAAACAATCATTATATTTTCAGAGTACTAGCAACCCACTTTTTAACTGGAAAACCTGCTTTTTCAGACAAACCTGCTAAAAAGAAGCTAGATCCAATGTTAGAAAATGACAATTTGCAGACGGTAGTGGAAAAGTGTTGCGTCCCCGAAAATGTTGTCAAGTATAATAAGAAAATGTGATAAATTATCCGCTATTAAATAACAATTTAAGATTTTTATAAAAGAATATTGAGATAAAGATTTCAACTAAACGGTTCTATCGAAATTTCAGGACCAGTTTCAGAGATCAGACCAGATCTGTTTTAGAGAGAGTTAATTCCCGACCAATGGCCAATATTGATGGGCCTGTTCGTATTACAACAAATTTTAACAGTTGTATAACTTCCAACGAATTAAGATTATTAGTAGTTATGATAATGTAATAATAAATATCTCATGAATGTCAGACTTGTCATTTACTGAGAACTAGCCCTAACGCTAAGAAACCGCTGAGCCAAAATCATGGAAGGTGACGCTAAGAAGGACAAACTGAAATTCCAGTCCAGTGCCCAAGAAGAAAATAACATACGATGTGGCAACCCAAACAGATAAAGGTAATGTACCTTAAAAAGAAAAAATGAAAAATGAAATTAAAGAAATACATTCCAAAATTGAGGTACTGGAAGCGAAACTTAAAACCAGAGAGCCAGAGACCCTCTCAGTTCCAGACCCATTAGAACAAATGACAGACTGTTCGACTGATGACTACTTCAGACCACAGCAGAGAAGGAGATCCAATAAACGAAAAAGAAATTTGACGGTCACCACGGACTTCGTAAGTTAAATTATAAAAGATATAAGCAGCCGTTTTTATCACTCAAACATTCTAAAATATAACATATCCTTTCAGAGTTCAATGAGAGATTGCGATTCTACATTTAATGAGAAGAAAAATGTGAAGCGAATAAAAGTTTTGAAATACTAAAATAATGTTAAAACTAATAACAAACCAAACACGGTAAACCAAATTTTTTCGTATGAATTATATTGTCAATGTTCTTGTTGTATAAGCTGTAATACTCCCCAATTTATAGGTGGCTATTGGTGATGGAAATGCTGTGGTCCCAGCTAGGCTTCTTAAGCGCATTGATTGGACTTCATTCACAAATGCTACAAGAAAACTACTAACTGCTGTATTTTCCAGAAAGTCAGTAGAAAGCATTAAATTCATATTGGAAAAATTCGTTCCAGTACATATCATAAGTAAATAATCATTATATTTTCAGAGTACTGGCGACCCACTCTTTAACTGGAAAACTTTCACCAGCATTTTCAGACAAACCGGCTAAAAAGAAGACAGATGACTGCTGGAAAGACAGCCGAGGGCGACGGCCTAGCAAGCCCAGCCCGGTATACATAAAGCTAAAAGTCCGAATAAGAAAAATACCCCTGGGACAGTCCGAGAGGGGGGGCGGAAGAACTGTCCACCGGTCGATTTTAACGGCGAAAACGGCGCGAATACGGACTTGAAATGCTCTACGTGCGGGAAAAACTACAAGAGACGAGCCTGGTACATTAAACATCTAAAAACACATAATGGTGTTGAAGTCCAACTTTCACTTCGGATAGAGTTGACCCTCATGTATCTCATGGTGAACCATTAACTGGAAAACACCAGGAGTCTATTAACATCAGGACACGTCTTAGCATTCCTAATGTAAAACAATCGACTTGGAAAGTTCATGACGACAACTTAGCGGTCCTGTTAGAGTATCCGGGCTCGAAGCAGGAATTGAACTCGCAGGTAGAAACTTTCCAAAATACCGTTTATGACTACTTTAGCGAGCAATATCCACCTCGTAATCGTTATGCTCGCCAAAATAAAGACAATTCGTTCAAAATAAAAATGCGGAAGAAAAAACGGGAATTAATAAAAAATCTACGTATAGCCAAAGCTCTAGGCGACAATCACCTTAGTCATCAACTAGCTAGGGCGTTAAGATCAATTCTTAAATTAATCCAAGGAATATCGGCGCAAACTGCAGAATATCGCGATAATTTTGACCGGGCAAAACAAGAAGTAGATTTCGATAAAAACCCTTTTGAGTATTCGAAAACCATTTTTAAGAAAAAACGCGGACAGCTTCTCTTGACCAACGATCAAATTTACGACCATTTTAAGAGCACATACGAAGTGCCTAAAAGTTTAAGACGGTATAGGGATCCAAACGATCAAAAACCTGAATTTCCTCGAATCGAATTCCACGGCATTCCACCAACGCTAGAGGAACTAAGTAGTCAGATCAAGAGGAAGTCGTCTAAATCTGCACCGGGACCCGATGGTATCCCATATATAGTCTTTAAAAAATGTCCATCGGTTCGTAAACACCTCCTAAATATATACGGTAAAATCTGGTCAAGGAAGCAAATCCCGGAGTGCTTCGGGAAAGCAATTTTTGTCCTCATTCCCAAAAATATCGAGTTACTGATCCGAAAGATACTAGACCGATAGATTTAACAAATACTATATCGAAAATCTTTTTCTCGGTTCTACAAACGAGAAAGACGCGATTCATGCTCAGCAACAACTATTTTAGGCCAAATCACCAGAAAGGGTTTTTACCCGGGATTTCTGGATGCCTAAAACACAAAACCTTACTGTCGGAGAGTTTGAAAGATGCTAGAAAAAGCGAGCGGCAAATCACTGTTTGTTGGATAGACTTGGAGAACGCGTTCGGGTCGATACAACACGAATTGATGCTATTCGCGCTTAGATGGTACAACTTTCCACCCCTAGTTAGTGATATGATCGCGTCGTATTACTCAAAATTAAGGTTTTCTATAATAACTAAAGAAGGCCCTTCAAAAAGTTTGAGTTATAATGTAGGACTGTTTCAAGGTTGTTGTCTATCTCCAATTGCGTTTAATATCGTAATTAACATCTTAGTAGACAAATTAATCTGTAACGAGAAAAAATGGGGTTATCGGTTTAAGTTTAATAATAAATACACGGAATCCATTTTAGCCTTCGCTGACGATCTCGCAATACTGACACGTAACCCCAAACACTGTCAAGTACTATTAGATGAAGTGGATAAATTCTGTGAGTGGACGGATGGATTGAGGATAAAACCCAGTAAATGTCACTGTCTGTGTTTTGGTAGGTAGGAATACATGATACACCTCATACGATCCGGGACTATCGTTAGGCGGTCAATGCATTTCTACGGTTACGTCATAAAGATGTTGAAGTTGTGGCTCGGGCTCGCGCTAACGGCTGATTCATCGGCTTTATTCAGGGATCGTAATAGTTTTGGGATGAATCTAAAAAGACCATCGGAGCTCTACAAACACGTGAAGCGGTTAACCTTTCGGTAGCCAGAGCGCAAAAGGAAATAACCACAAACGAACGATCAGTACGTTACATTACATATATAATATACTAGCGGCCCGGTACGTGCTTCGCTACGTATAAAGTGAAATAAAATAAACAAATCGGAACATCAAATTCATTTATTTAATCAAAAAAATATTTTATTTAAAATCGAAATCAATTGCTAGCTATTTACAACACACTTAATCCAAAACATTTGGATAAACAATATTTTTTGTTTTTCCATTTTGAGCATAAATAAACAAACGGCTGGGGGTACCGACTCTGGAACAGGCAACATATAACTGGCCATGTGAAAAACAATGTTCCTCCAAATTCACACCACAAACGTGAAGTGTTTGACCTTGGGCCTTGTTGATGGACATCGCAAATGATAAACGCACAGGATATTGTAAACGTTTGAACTCAAAAGGCATATCAGTTGGAATCATAGGTATACGCGGTATCAAAACAACTTCTCCTTTTGATTTACCAGTTAAGATCGTAGCTTCAATCAAATTTGGCAATAACTTTTTCACTGCCAATCTGGTTCCGTTACACAGTTTTGGTGGATTAATATTTCGCAATAATATAATCGAAGAACCAACTTTCAGATTCAAGCAATGCGGTGGCATACCAGCCGGCTCCAATGAATTTAAAAATTCAATTGGATAATTCATTGCCTCATCTTGATTCATAACACTGTCAATTGATTTATATTTCGTGACTACGCCTGGCAGTTTCGCTTGAATTTGAAAATTAATTGCATTGACATGAATGTTTTTCGGTGCTAAAATGGCGCGTTCTGTCAACCAATCATGATTTCTGTAATTCTGAACAATATTCGGAAAAACACATTCAATCAATTCATCTATCGATTGCGCAATTGTACAAAAATTGTTCGGTACAGCGATCAATCCGTTGGTTCTGTCGATTTGTATTTTGCCGTCACCAATTTCTAACAATTGTTTTGAGAACTCATGGGCAGCTGGATCATTTTGTAGGTGAACACGCATATTAATGTTTAGTGTCAATTTTTGTAGATATCTCCAAAGAACTGATGACTTCAAGCAGGCATTTATTTCATCAGCAGGAGTTGATCGAGGAATGACAGGCAATGTTTGACGAAAATCCCCTGAAAGTAATATCAAAGCACCACCAAAAAGCTGTTGATTACCACGTAAATCTTGCATTGTTCGATTGAATGCTTCTAGTGATTTTTTATTCGCCATTGTACACTCATCCCATAAAATAATTGACGTAAATCGCAGAACTTTTGCCATAGCAGAATTTCTCGATATATTGCAAGTTGGAGTTTCAATCACCTGTACATTCAATGGCAATTTTAATGCAGAGTGTGCGGTCCGACCACCTTCTAATAATGTAGCAGCAATTCCCGAAGATGCAAGTGCTAGTGCAATTTTCTGATCTGATCGAATAGTCGCTAAAATCAATGATATAACGAACGTTTTACCTGTGCCACCAGGTGCATCCAAAAAAATATAATCCACCTGCATTATTGGAAACGGCTTGCATGATTGTATCATATACATGTTTTTGCTGAATATTTAATTTGGTTATATTCGATTGTACAAATAAACGCAAATCATTACAGTTGAATTCCTGCTCACGTTGCAATTCACGATCAAACAAATCATGCATGGGACGATTTGGTGCGGTCATACCCAATTGTACTAATGCTTTATTTGCAATCGTTAGACATATATCTTCAATTATTATCAAAGCTTCGTTGCACATTTCCAAGGTAATCAACAAATCAGGATTTCTTGCATGATGACGCATACCAATTAAAATATCTTCTGCCATATAATTTTTATATTTGTTCCATAATTCAAGTGGATTTGATGGCATACATGTCGATAATATAATGGCAAATAGCATTCGTATTTGTTGTGGATGAGCTGACGTAGATGCATCATTAAGTGTTGAATCCCAATGTGCATCATCCTCCAACAAATGCAAGAGTTGACATGCTTCACGATATGTTTGACACAAATGACCGTCGACTGTTCTTAATTCTTGAAATGATTTTGGGCCATTGACGTTAACTAATAGCAATCGCAAATAAAAACACTCAGCATTGTTTGGATGTACTGTATACATTCTCCCAATTGCATCTGTTTTGAAAATGCCTGAATGCCCATCGACTGCTGTTCCTTGTTTACGTCTTTGAAATTTTTTTGAAGACACATTCCATGTATAGTACTGAGGCACTTCGGAATATAACAAATTTCTAGCAAATGTATCAGTTTCGCATAATTTGAAAAAAGCTGTCAACGTAGTCGCTGGTGGGTGTGCTGCTCTTTCCAATGCATTTGCTTCATTAAAATAAATACGTTGGCCATTCTCAAGATGCACAGCTAAGTGAACAACCACAGGATGTCTTTCGTGCATTGGAAACGACAGAATCCTCCAGACAGCTTCATTACTACTAATATAGCGCCCCAGTTGATACTGAGTAATTTCATCATTTCTATTATCACCAGCTACACCGAAAACAGCCATATCGCTCCCTTTATTTACATACTTGCAAATATATTTAATGGATTTGACTGAATTACAATACTCCACATTTATATGAGCCTTGAATATTTTCGATAATAATGGACAATACGGAACCACCCAACGATTATCAACTTCAACGTCCTGGTTACGCATTCTAATGTTTGCCGTTTTGCCATTATCATTAGGTGATCTACGTCTATACAACGGATATCCGTCATTGCCCGTTATTGTGTCTGAAGTCAATTGTCTTGGGTATCGTTTCGAACACTTTCCATCAATCATACATGGCGAATTCATATTTAGTTCACCGCACGGACCATGTATCATGTTTTTAACGACAACATCAAATAACTCAGGATCAACAGTTTGATCAGGAATTTCACCTGATATAACGTTATCGATTTGATCCGGAGTTATTTTATTTACCAGCCAAATTAATATATGTGCGTGCGGCAATCCCCTTTTTTGCCATTCGATTGAGTACATATGGCAACGCACCTCTCCAAATACA